GTTGTATAAATTGTTTAATTTGTTCCTGTATAAATTTTATGGGTGCTTCACTATTGTACAAATTATTTAATTTGTTCTTATATAAATTATATGCTTCACAATTGTACAAATTATTTAATTTATTCCTGTATGAATTATATGGGTATTTCACTATTGTACAAATTGTATAATTGTCTCACTATTGTACAAACTATATAATTGTCTCATTGCTATACAAACTATATATAAAATTGTCTCATTGTCATACAAATTGTATAATTGTCTCACAGTCACAAAAATTGCATAACTACCTTACTATCATACAAACAACAGTTTCACTGCTACAAAAATTGTGCAACTTTCATTTTCATGCAAATAACAATTTCATTTTTATTCAAATTTCGTAAAAATTTCATCTTTATGCAAATTTCATAACAGTTTTTATTCAAATCTCCTAACAATTTCACCATTACACAAATTGTGTAACTGTTCCCCCATAAATTTTCTGATATCTTCATTCTAGAAATTGTTTAACGGCATTCGTTCAAATTGCACGAATCATTTGAAACAAAATGTTGTACTTTCGCGCCTCATTAATATTCGGACAGCACACTTTGTACGAGCTAGGAATACTTGGAAGCTGTTTGAACCGCGGGATAGGTTTGTTTTGTATGCAATCGTCCGGAACATAACTCCACTTCGGTATAAGTTTGAATTTCGAAGCGTAAACAACTGAAATTTAACGTGCAGCGAGATGGAAAGAAGAGGAGTTTTGATAAGAGAAATTTGTAATTTATCGTGGGAAAAGGTTATCGAGGAATAACGGTTATTAATAACGGGGAAAGTCGTTGCAAGATTCAAAGAACATCGAAATGCAATCTTGAATGATCAAGAAAAGTCAGCTGGGAAAGTAATAAAAATCCACAATGCAATGCAAAAGAAAATATATCCGCAATTGTCTTTGTACATCAGTATGATAAATCATCCTTACAAGAACTAACATTTGACCTACCTGCAGCACATTTGTAATGCACATATATAAAGAGGATTTATAATCAACAACTCTCTTACCCTAACATTTAACCTAACATGTACATTAACGTGTATGTGACGTACTTCTGAGGATCGTCGAGCCGCCATTTTACTTCCGCGCGACTCATAATGGAGATGCTACGCGACACGTGAACAAGAGATAAGTAGATACGGACTACACAGATGTCGGTTGAGACCCAAAAGAAGCCTACCCCGTTACATTTCGGCAGATAATGACAACTGCAGTAGTTCGCGCTATCGAGACTGCCTGTCGTCGCCTAATTCGAGCCGATACCGAAAATACGTGCGAGTCTAGACGTTTCTCTTCTGACCAATCGGGTCCGAACCTGGATCCGCCACGTTCCTGGCTCGACTACGGCATGTACCGTGGACGACCCTGTTCCTGGCGCGTGGGGGCCAGGTTTAAGGGACGCACCGTAGAACAGTCCCGAGCGACGTTCCGACGTGGCTACTCGAAACGTTTGCTGTCTTCTTTCGCTCGATCGTGCCTACACCGGCGAAAATACGCGCGATTTTTCTATTCCGAGCAATTTCTCTTCTAAACACCTCTTGACGCGCCGACTCGTGGCATCGGTACGTCAACATAGCGCGCGAAGGCAACATACGGTCGAACACGAGCAATAGAATTGAAATACGAGCAAGTAAATGGAATATTGTTGAACGCTGCCGTTTTTCAAATACAATCGGAATTATCGTTCCGTCGACGGCGGAGAGGCTGTCTGTCAAATCGAGCTGTCGATTTGACCGAAATCGTACATCTACGTGTCCAGCCATAAGCGAACCTTCGACTGGACCTATTTCATTGATATCCTTAAAGGTTCTGACTATTTCTCTTCCGAATTCTTCTAATTCTTGCGTGTTCTTCTAAACGTCTCTTCACGCCCCAACTCGTGGGTTACCGTCGCTATATTTGTTTCAATCTTCCGGTCGTCGAATCTCGTTATCCCAGGATAATGGATGACGTTTGTTCGAGGAGCTGATCGAGGGGGATACTCGATTCCGTTAAAACAGACAAAAATGTGTCGGAAACGTGCCGCAAAAACGGCCGCAAACGTGTTCGAGATATCGATATGTCCGAGTGTTCGAAACCGTCGCGTATGGCCGCGAAATGCGAAATAACGCGTTTGGTTCCATAGAAACGTCGATTCGATTTGCTTCGCGCGCGTCGCGACGTCGGAAACGTGCGTCGAATCGCGCCGATATCGTTGATTATGCGATCATCGATCGCGTGATGTTTCGTGAAAACAGAGAGGATAGCTCGGAAACTTGGACATTTTTTAAATTCGCGAAATTTATGGTTTTCGGGACAAGGTTGAGGATTTTGGGGGGTTTCTGAGGATTTCTGGGGATTTCGGAGGGTTTTTGGGGATTCTGGGGACATTTGGGGATTTAGGGAGATTTCTAAGGACTTAGAGGGATTTCAGAGAATTTCTAGGGATTTAGGGGGATTTCATGCACTCAGTTCGAGATTTGGATATTCCTAGGGATTTTGAGATTTCGAGGATTTGACGATTTCAGATTTCTAGAAAAATCGAAGATCTAGTTTCTAGGGATTTCATATGTTATTTTGAGATTGGGGTTGCTAGGGATCTCAGCATTGTTAGGTGTTTGACGTAGTAATTTGGTAATTTCCAGCTCGAGAATAAGCATTTTCCAAATTGAAAAACGGGAGGATTATCTCCGCAACAGCGTTAGCGTGAAACGAGGCAAGATCATTCGATCGGCTTTGCTTCGACGTTTGATTCGATGCGGGGATTAAAGTGGCAGAAAGATAAAGGAGCATGACGAGGGATGAGAAATTCATCGTGGAAAACCTCGTTGGAAAATCGAGCAGTGGGTCGACGGCGCGAAAGGGGATTTCGCGACGTAACATGTCAGCAAACGCGTGTCCCACAAAGAGAAGGATTAATATCCGCGATCACAAAAGATTCTTAACTGTTTTTAATACACGCGATCGTTTAATTAAAACCGTTTAATTAAAATCGCTGCTTCTAAAACCTGTTGACCGATTGCCGTGATCGCCCGTCGGTTCTTATCTGCTGTCGATTTGACCGAAATCGTCCATCTACGTGTCCAGCTATAAGCGACCGTCGCACGACTGGGCTTATTTCGACATTGATCAGAATAGATGGTCGATCAATCACGTTCGAGGAGGTCGATCCCGTTATTTTTCCCCTCGTTCGTGTGATTTAACAGGCTGCGTTTCAATCGCAGCGACGTTGGATAAGCTTAGGGCGGGAACGTGATCCTCTATGTTTGAGCGGGTCTTTGGTTTAGCCTACGCTTTCCTTACAAATTTCTGGCTTCCGCAAATTGTGTAACTCGGAAATTGTATTCGTGGGAACAATTGTTCGCTGGGGATGAATGGCGAGGGGAGAGAAAAAGTTGTTTGCTTTGAGGTGTGACATTGTAATTATTCAATCTTCTATTTTTGTATCTTCACAAATAAATTCCAAAAATTCCTAAATACTTAAATAATGACATCCACATATATCCACATATTTACATGTACATATCCTAAACACTCAAATCTCTAAATTCCCAAAATCCCTAAAATCCTTAAGTCCCAAATATGAACTGAAATTTCCAAATCCCCAAAGTCCCAAACTCTCAAACCCCAAATCCCTATATAAATATATAAATTCCCAAACCCTCAAATAACCAAGTCCCTAATTTCCCAAATCCCTAAACCCTCAAACAATCAAGTCCCTCATTTCCCAAATCCCTAACCCCAAACTTCTGACAAAATCTCTCCGACAAACATAAGCGGTTTCCCATCGGTTTTAACCCCTCGATTCCGTAAGCATATATTTAATCGCAGTTGCAAACAGCAGCATTTCTCGCTGCATTTTCGTCGATATCCGATGGAAATAACAATGCGCTGTCGCGAAGGATTAAACGCTTGTCCATGCACGCTTGATGCAAGATCGAAAGCTAAAAAGCGATTCAAATACGGAAATCGAATATAGTTTGTCGGTTGAATGAGTGCTGATGAACAACCGCCGCTTCAAAATGCGTCTATCAAACGAATCAACCGAGATAATGTCGAATAAAATTTTGTTAATGAAGCTTTCGTCGAATCCAACCGCGTTTCCCGAAACGAAACGCTAATCGGATGCAAACGCTTATGAGGAGTCTTTCTGGTCAGTTCACCTTTCGACCTATGTTTGCTAACGCACTTTTGTATACCGGAATATCTTTGTATAGGTAGATTCGGATATAATCTTGATATTCCCAGACTGCAATATTATTAAAGCTCTATATGAATCTTGTATTGTGACATACTTAAGTACAAATATCCCAAGATCATGAAATAATCTCGATATTCCCCGATCACGATATCGTTAAAACTCTATATGAATCTTCCATTGTGACATACTTAAGTACAAACATCCCCAGATCATGAAGTACCTAGATACCGAAGTATTCAGACACCTAAATTCTTATACATAATTCTGTTTAATAATGTTATAATAATTTATTATAATATTGTATATCAAAGTATCGAAATCCTTGAATGACAAGTTCTATCTCCGGAAATTCCTATGGCTGCAAAACCTTGTATACAAAATATTTTCTAGATGTGGAAATCTATTGTATATTCCGAAATAAGTTGTCAAAGTTAACCAGCACCTTCCTTCACTACGACCTGAAATTTCGCCGTTTAACCAGTCGCAATTTGTCGGACGCGTAATCAACGCGAAGCCTTCGGACACACTTTTGCAGCTTCGCTCGAGGACCTCGTCGTTTCCGTTGGAAACTTACTATTCCGGTCGTTAACGGCGTGCGTTCGCCAAAACGATTTCCTTCGACGGAACTCGGTAAAGCGGAAGATGCTCGCTGGAAACTCGTAGCGTTCGCTGGAGATAGAGCTCGTTACTTTCGTAGGACAATTTCTACGATATGCTTCTAGATACGATAGGAAAACTTTTCGATACGATCGGTTAGTTGGTGATTCCTTGTTGCAGGAAGCGTGATGTCGCTGAGAATGATACTGTTCCTGGCCGTGGTGTTGGTGGCGGTGATCCAGTGGTCGACGGCCCTGCCGGCTGCTGACAAGGAGAGACTTTTAAACGAGGTAGACGTAAGTACATACGCATCACCCTAACTCCGTCGAAATGGTATAACCACCGATCAAGTATTCGATGGACTCCTGTATCCGCAGGCCATCGACTACGTAAAATTTCACTTTCGTAGACTAAATTTGGATCGGAACGGAGCGAGACAAAATTAAGGCCGAACAACGATTTTAACGAATTAACAAATAACTAGAGTGACTTTATTTCTTCCGAGTATAGCAAGACCAAGCGCGTTGACTCGCGTACAAATATATACATCTTCCCGATACACTGGGGCGGGAAAAACGAGGAGTGGGAAAGGGCTGACTTTCCCCAAATTGGGAGTTCCCAGTTTCCCCTGGCAGTGGTGCACCGGCCCAAACCGTTGCACGGTCACCCATCCGGCACTCGGCCTCCTACAAATTACCCTCACAGTAATAAACCCAAGATCGTCTCGACTTTTCAAACTACGTGGAACCGAAAAAATATGGCTACAACCTCGGGCTCAATGCGCAAACCGCCCGGGTAAAATGGAAAAGTTCCTTGGTCTCTTGCTATGGTACCTTCGATATTCCGAAACTCTCTTAAAACTATAGTCTAGATGCTATTGTAATTTGCAAGGGGATACATTTCGATATCTATACGAAATAGATATTGATACTAACATTCGTATGTGGACACGCTTCCGGTGACGGTTCACTTGCAACTTTACGCGGAAGCGCTATTATTTTGTACTTGAATTCGCGACACGATCCGAATAAGCTTTCATACTTTTTATTCGTGCAAAATATTTTGGTAATTTTCCAAGGTGTGCTTTCAACCCACTCTTCGAAAGCACTTTCGTTATCACATTTTGCACTTTGGTGCTCGAATTAGTGTTTAATGCACTTGAAGCACTTTGGTGTTTGCACTTTTATAATTATGTTAGACGTGCAAAATTGTCTTGAAATAATGGTGGTCTTGTTATAAAATACTGGTCCGATCATAAAATGGTGGTTCTACCGTTTAGACGGTGCAAGTCTCATTCTTCATTTACTTTAACACTAAAACAAGATCCTTATTATAAATGACACAATTTGTCGAATTGATTTTTCTGATACCCACATTGATCTTCATCAAGATAAAGAACTAATGTATGTACTAATTTATGTTTTGTCGTTTGTTTATTTATTTTTCGACTTCATTTTTCATCTCAAATTAAGTACGCATTATACGCCAGTAGGTTTAGTGTTAAAACAAACGTTTCATTCTGTAATACCATGAATAGTATACTGTATTTACAATAGTATACTGTAATTCTTTAAACAACGCGATTTAAACAATAACACCAACAGCACATTTACAAAGTTTTCAACAACGAAGCCATTTTCGCGAGGTAAAAATAAAGACGGTCGAGCGCAAAGGGGTAAATAGGGCATCTCGGAAACCGAGTCCGACATACGAGGCTGATGGCGAACGCGTTAAAAAATGGCGACACTCGAGAGACGACAAACGTGGCTCGTTACAGCCGCGTCTTCAGGTGTCCCCGATTTTCGCGAGAACGCGTCGATGCTCGTCTTGGACTCGTTTTCCACTGGGATCCGAACAATCGACCCAAAAAGATACGTTTTTATCCTGGCTACTCTCCTTGCTTCTCTACTAACGACACGGGAATTACACTCTTGCGCTGGATACCGTTTATGTACTCGTCTTCCGTGCGTTGTAAGCGAAATTAATCTACGCAGGTATTCGCTGAGGAGCTCGGGAATGAGAAACTTCGTGTAGATGCTTTGGAAACGTACATATTTCTGCGCTTAGAAGTTGAAGAATTTTGTAATTACAAATTCCGAGACTTTGTAGTCGGGGAATTCTCCTATATTCCCAAATTCCCTAGTTTCTAAATTTTTCTGGTTCCAAAATTTACTAGACCACAAACTCTCAAGCTTTCCAATTCCCTAGCCCCGAAATTCACGAGTTTCCAAATTCCCTAGTCTCGAAACTTCCAACGTTCAAAATTCCCTAGACCCGAAATTTCCAAGTTACTAAATTCCCTAGGACCGAAATTTCAATATTTCAAAAATTCCCTAGGCTTCAAATACCCAAGTTTCCAAATTCCCTAGTTCTGAAATTTTCAAGTTCCAAAATTTACTGGGCCCCAAATTCTAGGATGTCAAGTCCTTAGCTTCCGAATCCCTAGATTTCAAATTCCCTAGATTCCAAATTCCTATATTCCCAAATTCACTGTATCCCAAAATCCTAAATTCCATATTCCCTAGGTTGGAAGCTGTTAGAATTATGCAGTGATAGACGACGACAACTTTATTGGGTGTTAAGCCAAATATAATTGATTTATTAAAATAATATTACAACAAACTGTTAACGATTTAACGATGTCAAATATACGATAAGGAATGACATTTTATGACAGAGTTCAGGCTTTATATAAATTAACTATGTAATAGTTAATTGTGTAATGTAATAGTTAACGTGCGATAATTTGTTATATTCTCAACAGAAACTTATACTTTCCAATATAAAATTTAATCAATTTAGACCAGCAAATCAGTACAGAAGTTCGTAGGTGTAAAAATTGTCAAGTTTACACGTGTGTAGCAATCGAAACGAAGGTTACGTCCTAACGCACGAGTGGCGTGAATCGGTGTATCCGTGCGGGTGTATCCTTTGTCTTTGATCGCGTGGAGAGCGCGGCCGATTAAACCCATATCTATGGATTATTAGGGACAACGTTAATTGCTCGGTTACCGACGCGTGTGCTCGAATCTCCACTCGACGATAACCGAGGAATTCGCCACTGTTGTCCAACATTAATCACCGCGACGAAAACGCCTCTCTTATTCCATCAGCCACGAAAATTTATTTATTCCCGCGACACCGCGGCACTTCGTTTTTCATCCACTTAAAAGTTTCCTTGCGAGGTTATAAATTCACCCGGGAAATTTATTCCCCCGGCAAACTCGTTAGTTTCGGTAATCTCGGTCGCGGGACAAAGAAGCGTCGAATAAATTAAACTTGTCTCTCGTTCGGGAAGCGAGCAACAGGTTTCCGGACATCTTTTCGTGTCGACCGCTTTCAATCTTCGCGGAGCTCGTGTTTTCTCGCTGACGGGATTCCACCCTCTGTACACGGCAGGGAATACCGAGCTTCGGAATACCGAGGGTCGACGAAAACGTATAACGTTGGAATACTCGTATATCAACATGGGTGTTCCACAACTTTCGTTGGAGTACGTTTCAAGGATTGGGAAATTTATGCGGACTTAGATATTTCAGGACGTATCGATTTGTGCCTGTAGATATTTGAAGATCTAGGTATGCAGCTTCGAGGTTTCTTTTCGGGATTTGATTTTGTGTCAGGCGATTTGGATCTCAGTTCTTCAGTTTCAAGTACAATAAATATGTTTCAAAATTTGTAGATTCAAAAAATCTCTAGATTTCTAACATCTGAATATTCGATAAATATAAATATTCCCTAGATATCTCAGTACTTAGACATTCGAATTCTTAGATTCCAAATCCCTTAATCCTCGAGTCCCTACATTTCACATCCCTAAAATCCTATATCCCTATATCTCTAGAATCCCAGATACCTCAGTTACCAAATCCCCAAATCGCCATCCATAAATTCGCAAATGTAATCGCATCGAATCCGCAAAGTTCCAAAGATCACAGTGACGTAACCATACGGAAACCATAGTCCTTGACATCCTCGCTAATCCGAACTCCCTCGCGTCCTAGTACAGGGTCGTTTCTATCGCGACGAGTTAACTCGTCTTCCCGTGCTTAACGGATTAAAATCACCGTGGATCGTTGTAATAACGAACGGATCACGTCCGACCTTCCTCATAAGTAAATCCTCGTGTTTAGCGACGAAAGGATCGGATCGTCGATCGGTATTCAACGACGATCGAAACGAAGAAAAGATATCCTTTCGCTAATTACCCGACAGGAGAAACGTTCGCGTGTCAAACGGTACCGGATAATCGACTGCCTCTTAAGAATTTAATACACAGAAGGAAGGCTACCGTTTCAAAGTGGCGAATGAAATTTTTCCCTTTGCCAATGAACGACCGTCTCCAGCGGATTACAAAGCAAATTGCTTTACCCGGATCTCACTGTCTTTTACGATCGTCGCGTTACTCGATTGCAATTGCACCGGATAACGTTTGTCTTTAAACCGTTCGTTCCTTCCGTGAAATATCGAGCAATGGTTTTACGGGACCAAAACCGGTTACCTACGATTACCGTGTAACGGGATGTGTCCGATATTCTTCCAGAGGATTTAAGCATTTAACCTTAAAGTATTTTACTTCGACGTGAGTGGATAAAAGGTTCCATTATCGGATGTAGTTTAGTGTTCCGACGAAAAAGTACAAGCGATTACTGTTAAGAGGGGCAATACCTTTAGACAGATGAAAATAAGCTGATATTTGTGAATTTTTTTTTATAGGACTCCTTTGTTTTGCATTTTCGAAATTTCAGCTATAATTTATTATAACCATTGCCTGTTACAGAATATTTTCTGTTCTGCAAAATATTTCAAAATGCCGGAATTATGACAATCCTATCTGGAAGTGTTTTGGCGCGTCTCGCGAATCGGCGTGGGTTCCAGCGGAAGATATACTGGTTTCAGCAAGTTTGCAGACAACGTTTCGAAAACTAACATTCACAGTTAGTAGATGAACCTCAGAAACGTGCAAAATATGTAAAATCGAAGAAATGGCACGTTTAAAGAAAAACTTTGAATTTTATTGAAAATTTTTGCAATGTTCGCAATAAAAAGGACTTTAATGTTCAATTTATTTCATACATTTAGGTTCGTATGTTAGATAGTATTGTCATGGATATGTGGAGAAAATTTGAGCGCGATCGATAAACTAGTTTTTGAGTTATCAGCCACGGCAATTTTAAGAACGTAGTTTTGAGAAAAACGCGTTTAAAGTTTCAGTCCTCCGCACTGAACGCGTGTATACCCGCGGCGCTAATCGGCCATAACTTCAAAAGGGCTTCGTATTTCGCTTGAAAATTTTCAGACAATATTTTTAAGATGTTACACTAACATTTTATAGAAGAAAAAAATTTTGTAATTTTTTAAGATTCTAAAGGTATCCCCCTTAAATTAAAATGTGACTATGTAAGTGAACGTGGTATAGGATTTTATCGAGCAGGGATGTATGTGTACATTCAGACGTAATGACAACTCTAACGAATGCAAGTTATTATTTCATTCTAAAATACTATATCAATATATGCAAGTAAGAGTAATATTACAGTATCTATTTAAATTAAAATGTGAACGTGTAAGTGAACGTGGTATAGGACGCGGATTTTATCGAGCGGGGATGTACGTGTACATTCAGACATAACAACTCTAACAAATCGAAGTGATTCTTCTACTCTAAAATACTGTATCAATATATACAAGTAATATTAATATTACACTATCTATTTAAATTGAAATGTGACTATGCAAGCGAACGCGGTATAGGACGCGGATTTTATCGAGCGTGGATGTACGTGTACATTCAGACCTAACAACTGTAACAAATCGAAGTGATTCTTCCATTCTAAAATACTACATCAATATAAACACATAAGAGTAATATTAAGACTCCAGCGAATTAATGAGAATTTTCTTCCTCAAGAACGCGAGGAAACGTTTGAATTGCAAACGGGCTTAAACATCTAAACGGACCGTGGAATTGTAGCTCGAGATTACCATACTGCACGAGGAAAATAGGTTAATATCGGGAGAAATAACGGAGACATTGTATGGAAGATTTATTTATCCTAGAAAGGTTTCGTTATGTAAGACTTTGCGAATCCACCTGTTCGATTACCTTTACAAAACACGTTTCTGTTTTATTTATGCTTTAGTATTTATTTCCCTTTTCATTCTTCGATAAACGAGCATTTAGTAGTTCTAGCGTTAGAAGTTTTAACCCCTTGCCGTGCCATTTATTTATGAGGTCAGTCAAGACTAACCATTCAGGACTATAACATTAAAACGAACAAAGAAAATGAAAATGTTCCAAGTATTTTATATTCAGAGATCCTTGACAACGCAAATTATAGTTGGATCTAAAATTCAAGTTGAAGAGTATTCAAAATTTGAGTAACATTTGAGTTGTGAGTGCGTCACGAGTGAGACTCGTCAGAGCACAATAAAGGGTTAACCCGCTATGTAAAAAGTACCGACGCCTTATAAAGGTGGCGTGTCATTTCGAAACGTCTCGATGGGTCGAAAACAAGCCCGAGAAACGTCGCTCTACCGCGTTAGTCTAACGAGTCTAAGTTGACGTTTATAAAGTCGTCGAATCGAAGCGACGGACAACCGGACGTTAAGCGAAATCGGATTTGCCGTCGCCGAGTTATCGATTATCGGATCAGCCTTAAATTTATCGGCCTTCCTACGAGCGAACCGCACTTGTCTTTATCGTGGCTCCTCTGTAACGCGAACTTTGCAAAATCTTCTCGGAGCAATCCGCAGGATTAGTCGCGACGGAGACCGATTTTTAATACGCTTGCTCGTTAAAAATCCCCGCGGATCGATTCATCGACGTCAAACGCGGAAATTCTTCCGGGAAAGGTCGGCGCGGGAAGATACGGTTTTTTATAATCGTTTTAAGTGATCGATTCGCGGCCGCGTGGGACACGGTTACAAAGAATGCGGTTTCGCTTTTTAATTTTGGTAATGGTTCTACGTTTTACTGATCGGGGAGATGCAGGTTTCAGAGAATCTACGTTAAAGGATTAACGACACGAGTGTTCAGAACAGTTCTGCCATATTGGTTACTAGCGAACGTGACATGGCGGAAAATTCAAACGCTCATACGTAAACATGTTTTAACAAAATGGTAAAGCGACGAAGGTATTTATTTTATTCGTCTGATACAAAATATTTGCGCTACTATTTAATTTTACGGACACCTACGTACATTTTTACTCGCAATTTGTCGAGTATCTAAACGGAAGGTGCAAATACGTGAGCGCGAGTTTTATCGGACGCATATTTTTTTAAACGCGTGACGCAAATAAAATCGCGTTAGGGACGTTAACGATTTTCCCGCCGGTAATATTAAGTCCCGAGAAGAACAAATCCGAAGGCCGCGTAATAGAATTTCGATCATAATTCGTGGCGTTATTCGAACGGCCGATAAAAAGCAGTCGGTTTCGTTCGGGCATAAACCGGCAGCCGAACCGTTTTATTCGCTAATAAAATCCAGCTGACATTTAACGCGATAAATAAACGCGAATACTTAGCGGACGTTAACGGGACGCGAACAACGTGTTAGAAGTGCATTTGCGTAATCTCGGATTAATTAAATCCTCATCTTTCGGTAGGAACAGCGGCGTTTAGACGGCGCACAAAGACGAGATAACTCGTCCTTTGTGCGATCAACGTTTACCATAACTCCGCGATCGAAAGCAGTAATTTAATTTCCTCGCTGGGGAAAGAACGGCGTTACGAGACGGATTAATTCATCGCAATTTACGTTTAATCGTTTCGACTCCTACTTTAACGCAACTAAAATGGCCCGCGAGTAAACTGCTTTTGAATACAAATTATCTCGAGAAAATGTTCTCTCGGTGTTTCATTATAGTTCATATGTAGTTGAATTATAGTTCATACATTTCAGTAGAAGGTGCATGAGGTATTAAATAAGGACACACGTGTCAATTTGGCAACTCTTTTTATTGTCAAATTTTCCAAACTCCCTAGATCCCTAGGGCCACAAAATTCAAAACACTCAAATTTCTAGTAGTTTCTTTCTAGTAGTTTCAAATCCCTAAATCCACAATTTACTATATACTCGAAACCCTACATCTCCGAATTCCTTAAATTCTTGAATTCCCTAAATACAAAAATCCCTAGATTGTCAAATTCCCCAGATCCTTGAATTCCATAAATTCGCGACTTCCCTGGATATCCGAATTCCCCAGACGCAAGAATCCTTAGATACCAAAATTCTCCAGATACAAAAATCCCTAGATGCAAAAATTCCCTAGATATAAAAATCCCCTAGATGTTGGAATTCCTAGATGCCAAAATTTATAGTTTCCCGAATTCCTGAGATTCCGAAATCCCTAGATACCAAAATTCCCTAGATATAAAAATCCCCTAGATGTTGGAATTCCCTAGCTGCAAAAACTATATTTTCCCGAATTCCCGAGATTCCGAAATCCCTAGATGCGAAAATTCCCTAGATCCTAAAATCCCTAGATGCAAAAATTCCCTAGGCGAAGAAATCCCTAGATTTCTGAATTTCCGCAATTCCTAGGTATCCCAATTACCTACATAAAAATTCCTATATGCAAAAATTCCGGAAATGAAAAATTCCCTAGATTTCCGAATTTCCGATATTTCGAAATCCCAAGATATCCAAGTTACCTAGATACAAGAATCCCTAGATTCCAGAATCTCCAAATCCCCTAATCACCAGATATCCGAATTCCCTAGATCCCAAAATCCCTAGATCTCGAATTCCCTAGATACTGAAATCGCTGGAGAGTCGAATTCCCTAGATATCCGAATTCCCGAATTTCCTAATCACTGGAAATCCGAATTCCTTAGATCCCAAAATCCCTAGATCCCGAATTCCCCAGATACTGAAATCGCTAGATGGTCGAATTCCCTAGACATCCGAATTCCCGAATCCCCTAATCACCAGATATCCGAATTCCCTAGATACTGAAATCGCTGAATGGTCGAATTCCTTAGATATCCGAATTCCCGAATCCCCTAATCACCAGATATCCGAATTCCCTAGATCCTGAATTCCCTAGATACTGAAATCGCCAGATGGTCGAATTCCCTAGATATCCGAATTCCCGAATCCCCTAATCATTGGAAATCCAAATTCCCTAGATCCCGACTTCCCTAGATCTCGAAATTAAAAAATATCAAAATCCCCAACCCATCTCAAGAGTTACGAATCTGAAAATTGAACCACTGCATCTTTCGTTTTGTTTTTCATGCGTCACCTAGGGAATCCCTATTCGCTGTTGGCAGTGCATTTTCTCGTCCTCTAACCGACACGCAAATTGTTTGTTTCAGTTGGTGGACGACGACGGCAGCATCGAGACAGCCCTGATCAATTACCTATTCACGAAGCAGATCGTGAAGCGACTTCGAAATCAATTGGACATCGGTGATCTCCAGCGGAAACGCAGCTACTGGAAGCAGTGCGCCTTCAACGCGGTATCCTGCTTCGGCAAATAGAATTTCCAAAACCTAACCGCCATCGTGCTCTCTTCTCCGTTTATCTGTCCCTCTCTTCCTTCCTCGAGCTTCTCCGGTTCGCCCTGCGTCCTCCTCTCGGGTAACCGCATTTTAAATCTCACCATTTTCGCGATACATGAAGATCTCGACGGAATTATTGTAAACGAAAATTTAGTGGAAATTCGAGGATGAGTGTGGGTTTCGAGGCGATGAAACGGATGCGAGCTAACTGCGGAGATGTTTGCGACGTGGTAAAACAGGAAATGGTAGATTAGCGTCGAACAGCGTCTCCGTTTACCCGGTAATCCTTCGGAAATGATCGGAAACCGTGTCGCGTTTATTTGGAAAGGAAGGCAGAGAGAGGTTAGAATGGCGGGAAAATTCAAATCTGCAGATCGTAAAAAAATAACAATTTCGATCGAAATACTGAAACCTATCTTATCGATTTATTAATGTTAAGAAACATGACATTATTATATTAACATGAGAGAATTATTATACTCCTATTTATTATTCTCCTAATTTATATTCGACAGAAATTACACTTTGATTACAGAAATTTAACAAACGCGTAAAAATAATAATTTTTTATAATAAGACTGCAGATTAAATTTTAGTATAAAGTCAAGTCAGCGCGAACCGATTTGAATTTTCGCGCCAAGCGGCGGCCATGTTCCGATCGCTCCGCGGCTCGCCGGGTACCTGTCATTTTTGTCTGTCGTGTAAATGGACTTCGTGATCGTTTATTCTTCATATAACGCAACGTTGCGCGTTTGTAAATCGAGAATTTACGTTCGCGAACACGGTGGCTGTAATTCATGGAGAAACATCAATAAAGTTTATTTCCGGTTGTATGCAATCGCTTGGACGTAAAAAGGAAACGATCGAAGGTTCGATCTGAAATGGTTATCCCTCTGATCACATGCCATTTAATTCGTAACCATTACAATGATCTTGCATCCAGTTTAACGTCCGAGGGTATAAAAGTTCCTTTTGTGTCTCGCTGATTGAATTTCATATTAAGCCGGGGATGTTCGGATCACCTGCGCAGAAAAAGAAAAACAACGTTCCGGAGAAATTCAATATACAAAAGGTAAGTGGATACGAATAAATTGTGGGGGAGAAGGAATCCTGGCGTAGCTGGAAACTCGTGTTTCAACGATTACGCAATCGTCGGAATTTTCCTTTGTTCGCGGTCGAAGTCGCTTCTAGGGCGTCACGATCGACAAAGGGAAACTGTATCGCCATACGTCGAACGTGACGTGTGTGTACAATAGGGGCGAAGGCTTATTAGGAAATTTTTAGAATTTTTCACTTTCTATTTTTATAATTTTTTAAATTCTCAACTTGATAAATTTTTATAGTTTTCAATTTTTGGACTCTTATATTTTCGAATCTTTATTTTCTTTTTGGAGTCACTAAATTTTCAAGTTACTATATTAGAAGGTAGTAGATGTCATTAGATTACAATATTACTAGATTCCAACGTCACTAGATTTCCAATGTCATTAGGTTCCAAGTTACTAGGTTTCCATATTAGTAGATTTCCATATTACTAAATTTCCAAATTACTAGGTTTTCATATTACTAGATTTCCAAGTTACTACACTTCCATATTACTAGATTTCCAAGTTACCAGATTTTCAAATTACTAGATTTCCAAATTACTAGGTCTCCCAGTTACTAGATTTCCAAATTACTAGGTTTCCAAGTTACTAGATTTCCAAATTACTAGGTTTCCAAGTTACTAGGTTTTCAAGTTACTAGATTTCCAAATTACTAGGTTTCCAAGTTACTAGGTTTCCAAGTTACTAGATTTCCAAATTACTAGATTTCCAAATTACTAGGTTTCCAAGTTACTAGCTTTCCATATTACTAAATTTCTATGTTACTAAATTCTCAAATACCTAGATCCCCAAATCCCTAGATCTCCAAATCTCTAGATTCCAAAATCCCTAGATTCCCAAATCTCTAGATTTCAAAATCCCTAAATTCCCAAATCTCTAGATTCCCAAATCTCTAGATTCCAAAATCCCTAGATCTCCAAATCCCTAGATCCCCGAATCCCTAGATTCCCAAATCTCTAGATTCCAAAATCCCTAAATCTCCAAATCCCTAGATTCCCAAATCTCTAGATCCCCAAATCCCTAGATTCCCAAATCTCTAGATCCCCAAATCCCTAGATCCCCAAATCCCTAGATCCCCGAATCCCTAGATTCCCAAATCTCTAGATTCCAAAATCCCTAGATCTCCAAATCCCTAGATCCCCGAATCCCTAGATTCCCAAATCTCTAGATTCCAAAATCCCTAGATCTCCAAATCCCTAGATCCCCGAATCCCTAGATTCCCAAATCTCTAGATTCCAAAATCCCTAGATCTCCAAATCCCTAGATCCCCAAATCCCTAAATCCCTAAATCCCTAGATCCCAAAATCTCCAAATCCCCAACTTCCTACGCCCCAAAATTTGAAACCCTTCCCAAAACATTCGAATCGGAAAGCAATAAAAGCGACTCCATAAAATCGATACTGTAGTCGGCAAGTCGATCATCAAGGACGTACAAACGAACCTAATCGTAGTTTGATGTCGATGGGAACGTTATCGATGCAAACAGGGACAGGAACAGTAATCCGGAGCCAATACCACCGCGTGCTCTTCCGTCGGCTGCATCTCGCGGCCGGAAGCGGAACTTTCCAACCAGGAGACGCTCACGTGCCTCGTGCTCTTCGGAACATCCTCGAACAGCTGCAACAAAAATCAACGCGAACAATAAATTATATTAGACGCTTTTTACAATAAATTCTAACACTTTTATTAGATTTATTATTTTCGTTTGAAATATAAACATAACCCTACATCCTCAAGGGTTAACGAACGTAGGATCAAGAGAGGAAATCAGAGAAGCCGGATGCAGCTTAATGCCGTCGCGGTAATGGTGCCGGTGTTAAACGACTTTAATTCCGTTATCGGGGACCGCGATCGATTTAAAACGTGTCCATTAACGCCACGCGGCCAACACTCTTCTTATTCCCGTCGATAACGATTACGATAACGGCAGCCTGCTTGCTTTTTAAGTGATTCCCAGTTTAATGGTGCTGGGTTCTCCGTTGACACGTGTCTGCGATTAACATGTTATTGATGAGGGAGTGACAAATTTTTGGTTATTTTACATGCTTTATGGAGAATGTTATGTATTAGATTTTTTCATAGATTTTATTAGTGGTTTTTATGAAGATTCGTTGGGGAATTTTTATGTTGAATTTGTATTTCAAGATTTAATTTTAAATTTAGAATTTTAATTATTTTTTACATTTCTGAGTCATTAAATCCCTTGATTTTTAGATTACTGGATGAGTACATAACTAGATCCCTAGAAATCAGATTTCTAGAACTATGGATTCCTAGATTCCCAGATCTCTACATCCCCAGATTCCCCCATTCCTAGATTCTCACATCCCTAGATTCTCACATCCCTAGATTCCCACATTCCTAGATTTCCACATCCCCAGATCCCTTCATCCCTAGATCCGTTCATCCCTAGATTCCCACATCCTTAGATTTCCACATCCCTAGATTCCCACATCCTTAGATCTCTTTATCCCTAGATTCCCACATCCCTAGATCCCTACATCCCCAGATCCCTTCATCCCTAGATCCCTTCATCGCTAGATCCCTTCATCCCTAGACTCCCACATCCCTAGATCTCTACATCCCTAAATCCCTTCATCCCTAGATCCCTTCATCCCTAGATTCCCACATCCCTAGATCTCTACATCCCTAAATCCCTTCATCCCTAGATTCCCACATCCCTAGATCCCTTCATCCCTAGATTCCCACATCTCCAGATCCCTTCATCCCTAGTTTCCTACGTCCCTAGATCCCTACATTGCCTAATCTCTATATTTCCAAATCTCCAAATTCCCTAATCCCTAATCCCTACATTCCCAAATTCCCAAATCTCCAAATTCTCAGATCCCTAAATCCCTAAATTCCAAAGTTCCCAAATTTCTCACCCTAATCTCCAAATCCTCCTCCCCAATATATCCCATCCTCCAAATTCCACAATCAATTCCACAATCAACTCCACAAAAAATCTCCATCTCCCAAAATTCCCCAGATGTACCCTTACCTACCTGAACCTCCGACGACGGTATCCCCCTGCAAGGATGAACCACGTACATCGCCCCGCTCCGTTCAACATCCTCCAACACCCTCGCCCCGAGACTGCCAACAGTCAAGGAAAATAAACGAACTCTCTAACGATTCAAACAACGACCCAGGACGATTCGCGACCCCTTTCGTGAGAGCCTCTAGAAAGATAATCGACCTGGTCGCCACACGGTCGTTAAGCTAGTCGTCTTCTGCAAATCCGCCTCGAGGGAGAAAGTGCTCCATTTTCTACGAACTGCTTGCTGACACTCCACGGTTCTCCCTCTGGCAGGTTCTCTCGAGATGTACCCAGAAATCGTTGTGTAACGTCGAACGATAATTACATTGAGTTGCTAAAATAAAATGCGTTGGAAATAGAAGGATACGTCTTTAGTAACCTCTGAGCCTCCTTCCTCTTCTTCTTCCTGAAGCTCGACGCCAGACTGACTGGAACGCCTTTCAGTATCGATTTGGACTTCTGAAAATGATTGGTTATGTCAGGGGATTTTTATTGAGCCGTAAAGCTGTCAGAAAGGAAATATTGAGGAGTCATAAAAGGATTCTGTTAAATGGAGTGGCCTTGTACATCTGAGTAATGTGGTACAACATGCAGCTACTGAAGCTAGTTCTAAATAATTCTAGAACCATTGTATCTAGGGTGAAATTACCACTTCGTCATCTGTAAGATCCCGCAGAGGTTTGGCGTTCGACGGCAGACCCTGCTGTGGCTTTCGACCTTCGATCCAGTTCAGAGGAGTTCCATCCACAGAGTACTCTATGTACTACAAAAAATAATATGTTTATAAAAGATATGATAAGAAATATTGCTAAGAAAGGATGAAGTACATCTTTGTTGATGAACGCGTAGAACTCTGCGGGGTCTTCCTCTTCGACTTTCACTTTCACTTCTTCAAGAGTTTGCTTTGTTTTACTGCAACTGGGACTATTTTCTGTGCTGGTGCTCGGGGAGCGACTGAAGATTTTTAATTCACCGTTTCTTTTTGTGGGGGACTTAGACTTTCTGTCGGTAGTTGGTTTACTTTCACTGTCGGCTTCTTGTTTGATCCTGAAAAGAGTGTTTAGTTATTAAAAGAATAAGATGGTTGTTTAAGTATTAGGAGAACAAGATGGTTGACTATTAAGAGAACAAGATGGTTGACTATTAAGAGAACAAGATGGTTGACTATTAAGAGAACAAGATGGTTGTTTGACTATTAAGAGAACAAGATGGTTGACTATTAAGAGAACAAGATGGATGGTTGTTTAACTATTAGAAGAACAAGATGGTTGTTTGACTATTAAAAGAACAAGATGACTGTTTGACTATTAAAAGAACAAGATAGTTGTTTAACTATTAGAAGAACAAGATGGTTGTTTAACTATTAAAATAACAAGATGGTTGTTTGACTGTTAAAATATATAATGTACTGTACTTATAATCAGATGATAGGAGAAGGCTGAAGTCAATCGATTCAGAGCTGGTCTTGAAAAGACGTCGCAATTCGTTCAGGGTAGTCGCACTGGACCAATCCTTGTCGCGACGGATCTTGGTTACCCTGGGGAATCTTATACTGATACCGTCAGCTGTATGAACCCCTTGGTTAGTAAACTCTGCTCCTGTGATTTCCCATACCGGTTGTTTCTGGAGAATTGAAGAAAACCGATAATTGTGGAAAGAGTACTGGTGACCTTAATATCAGCTTGTAACAATAACCTTGGCAACCATTTTATAGTAACATTGACAATTATTAATAATAACCTTGAGAACTATTAACAGTAACCTCACAACTTTTAACATAAACCTTGATATTTCACAGTGACATTGACAACTATTAATAACCTTGACCATTGTCAACATTAACCTTGACAACCATACAAGATAAACCTTGACAATTATCAAGAGTAACCTTGATATCAACTAAGAATAACCTTGACTAGAAGTAGCCACAGTAACTAATACTGATCTTAAGATTCACTGAAAATGTCCCTAAGCAAAATATACCTTTGGATCTCTAGCCACAAAATCAGGGATCATAGGTTTGTTGGCTCGCAACCACTTTGGCACTTTGTTAGGATCTTTGGCTATTTTGATCATGTCCAATTCATCCTGTAGCATGGTCAGGGTGGCATCGTCATGTCCTGTGTGTACCTGAAGGAAATAATTTTTATAATCTATAATTATAATTATAATTTTTATAATTGCATTGGTGATTGCAAAGGTTGTATTTACCTTGGTTACTGTTACCCAGTTCCCTTGGTCCTCATCGTAGCAACCCATGAGGAAGATGGACATCATACCACCTGCGAATGGTAAGTAATATCATTTGGAAGTTATAGACTTAAGGTGGATGGTATAAATATAGATGTAGATACTGTAAATTATGTGAGTAAAATAATTACTCCTGCACTGAGGGTATGACTCAAACATGAAGTAATTATCTTATTATACTTAGTGTATTATTAAACAATATTACTGAGTACTAAGCAGACCTCTGTTTCCTGTGCCGTACCATGCACCGAGCACAACGAGATCCGCAGTATCGGCCATAGCGCCGTCAAACAAGTAGTCCTTTTTTACCTTCAGCCAGTGCCTCTTGCCTGGCTCGTATTTACCCTACAAACAAAAATTCTTTATCTATCTAAAATCAATGGTTCTCCAAGTTGCAAACAACCAGTAGGTAGGTTTCTATAGAGAGTCTATTTAACACTTACAGTAACATCCTTCAAGACCAATCCTTCTAAACCCATGCTGAGAACTTTGGCAATCATCTTTGCTAAATCTTGTGGACGCTGAAAGAAATAAATTTGTGATGTAAAATATATTTGTATTATTTATTTACCTCTGATTGATTTGTGTAAATAATTTGACTGTAATTGCTTTATATGTATAATTTATTTATTTGTAATTAATGTGACTGATAGTATGTACTTTATTTGTTTGCGACTGATGTACTTATGTGGCATATTTATTTGTAATTGATGTACCTACGTAATTTATTTGTTTGTAACTGATCTATCTATGTAATTTATTCATTTGTGATTGATCTGTCTATGTAATTTATTTATTTGTGACTATTCTGCCTATCTATTTTATTTATTTATGACTGATGTACCTACGTAACTTATTTGTTTGTGACCTATCTACCTATGTAAGTGATTATACTTATATGCAATTGATCTACTTGTGTAATTTATTTATTTGTACCCAATATACCCACACAAATAATAAATAACACCTACACGAACTTCCTGGACTTCTGAGAGCATAATCCTGTTAGGTATCTCCGTCATCCTTTCCTCTAAGATCTTCCTCCGCTCCATCATACTCCTGCATTCAATAAAATATAATAAAAACAGTGAAAAGAATAATAAATAAATAATAAAGAACATACTTGTGTAGTAAGACATCCCCATTATAGTAAATACAGTCAAATACAAATAGGCAAACGTTGGCATCTTTGAACTCCGCTTTCTGCAAACCAGATTAACTGAAGGACTAATTTGAAAATATCTGAATAACTGTAGGTACGGAAGATTGTGCAAACCTTGTGGATACCTAAAGTACCGAAAGGTAAGGGTTGACCAGTATTTGTATCGATCATCAACACTTCAGCATCTAAAATAAGATCATCGCCGTCTGGGAAAGCTTTCGGAATATAATCCTTGAAATGATTCACCTAAAATCATTGTACTTTATGTAAAATTGTAGAAAATTACATAATTTAGTAAATTAGAAGTGTTTTGATAGTCTTATCACTGCAAAGTTCAAAGAAATTGACTTAAAAAGTAGAAAGCATTTAAAGAAGAGACTTAGCTAGTTTCAAATTTTCGCGCGCAGTAGACGAGATCACGTGATCATAACAGGTGTAAATACTGTGATAGAAAATTGCGATTTTCTTAAAAATTAGGCACTTTCAAGCTTGTCTGAGGGCAGAAAAGTGTTCTACGATCATAAAGGAACAGAAATAATGCCACTATAGCACTTAAAAAGCTGTGGAAACGAAAATAAAAAAATAATGCATTTCATGGACCTAAAAAATGCCGTCCATCTAGCGGTGAAAGTTGGAACTAACGAAATAGAAAATCTCGATTTTCTCGAAAACTAGGCACTTTTTCGAAATTCTGAGATATACAAATTGTTCCTTGTTGCCTACGGAATCGAATGAGTACTTTCATAGCCCTCTAGGACCCTTATTAAAGAAATTAGAAAAATAGCCCATTTCATGGACCAAAAAATTGCCGTCCATCTAGCGGTGAAAGTTGGAACTAACGAAATAGAAAATCTCGATTTTCTCGAAAACTAGGCACTTTTTCGAAATTCTGAGATATACAAATTGTTCCTTGTTGCCTACGGAATCGAATGAGTACTTTCATAGCCCTCTAGGACCCTTATTAAAGAAATTAGAAAAATAGCCCATTTCATGGACCAAAAAATTGCCGTCCATCTAGCGGTGAAAGTTGGAACTACAAAAATAGAAAATCTCGATTTTCTCGAAAACTAGGCACTTTTTCGAAATTCTGAGATATACAAATTGTTCCTTGTCGCCTACAGAATCGAATGAATATAATTATAACCCGCTAGGACCGTTATTAAAGAAATTAGAAAAAAGGTGTAATTCATGGACTTTTCTCGATTAGTTCCAACTTTTACCGCTAGATGGACGCCAATTTTTTGGTCCATGAAATGGCCTATTTTTCTAATTTCATTAATAACGGTCCTAGCGGGTTATAATTATATTCGTTCGATTCCATAGGCGACAAGGAACAATTTGTATATCTCAGAATATCAGAAAAGTCTCTAGTTTTCGAGAAAATCGAGATTTTCTATTTTTGTAGTTCCAACTTTCACCGCTAGATGGACGGCAATTTTTTGGTCCATGAAATGGGCTATTTTTCTAATTTTTTTAATAACGGTCCTAGCGGGTTATAATTATATTCATTCGATTCGGTAGGCGATCAGGAACAATTTGTATATCTCAGAATTTCGAAAAAGTACCTAGTTTTGGAGAAAATCGAAATTTTCTATTTTTGTAGTTCCAACTTTCACCGCTAGATGGACGGCAATTTTTTGGTCCATGAAATGGGCTATTTTTCTAATTTTTTTAATAACGGTCCTAGCGGGTTATAATTATATTCATTCGATTCGGTAGGCGATCAGGAACAATTTGTATATCTCAGAATATCAGAAAAGTCTCTAGTTTTCGAGAAAATCGAGATTTTCTATTTTTGTAGTTCCAACTTTCACCGCTAGATGGACGGCAATTTTTTGGTCCATGAAATGGGC